TTTCTCGTTGAAAGATAAAGAATATAGTTTCAATTGAAAACATCATCATATATTTGTAATTACAACTGATGACTAATGTATTAATCCAATCTTCGATTGAAAGCATGATTGCAAGTTTTTATTTACAGACTAATATTTGATTAATTAATCATTTGAATCAATAATTTTTGTACGAAAATTAAATATAAATTGACTAATATGATTGAATAATTAAAGATTCATGATTATGTTATACAATTATGATTGTCAAATAATGAAAAGCTACAAATATCTTAAAAAGTGATGCAAATATGAAATCTTATTATCTTATGGTGAGTTTTCTTTTCGTCTAGTTAGGACAATTATTTGTAATCATATTTGTTATATGTTTATCATTAATTGAGTTTGAGTTAGAAACAGAGATGAAAACTAAATGGACTTAAACATACACAGATAACAGCCTTAATATTAAAATGATATAACTTAATGAAACTCTATAATGGTATAACTTAATGAAGTTATATCATTTTAGAGCTTCCCGTAAAATATAATATATTATATATATGTTTTAGTATAATTCAAGAATTTAATTTCATGTGTTAACGCTAATGTTGACCTGTGTCAATATCCCTAATGTATCAATATCCCTAAAGAAATGTAACGATTATAATGAAAATATAGAAGTTGTTATTGTTTCATAATAATGTGTCAATACTCCTGAAAAAATGTTAACGGTTATAGCGAAACTAAAGAAGTTGTTATTGTTTCATGATTCAAACCTTATATGATAAACTATGTACATATCATACTGTTATATTTTATGGCTCCTTCCCTACATGGAATATATATACATATATCACACAACAAGGGAAGAAAAAGAAAAAAATGCGCCGAAATTAGCGCGGATGGATCTCACAGCAATTTTTTCGTACGTATGAATTTTCTAATATATCTTTTCTAATTTTATACTCAAGAATTGCGTATGTCATTTTTTGCGGATGCGACCAACTGCGCTCTTATGTTATGCGTTCGTATACGTATGACTTCAATACCCGATGCAGCCTTCTTTATTATATTTTTGTGCGAATGTGAACAAAATATCACCACAAGAAACGTTTTAGCGTCTTCTTGTCGAATTGTTCCTATGCTTTGTTATTTTTGTTTTAATGAAATAAGTTGCTTCTTTTGATAGCGTGTACTCAAACAGATTTGTGTATAATAGTGTAATACGTAGGCAGTCTGAAAAGTTCTCAGTCTAACAATAAAAGAAAATTTTTTTTACCGTGAAATATGTTTTATTTTTCAATATAATCTACTGAAACTTCAATACATTTATTCCAATGTTTTTCCAATAATTCAATACCATTATTAAAGTGTGATTCCGGGAGGTCTGCAAAATATCCATCTACGGCTATAACAGCTTCGTCATTTGATGTAAAACGCTTTCCAGCCAGGAATTTTTTCAGGTTTGGAAACAGATAATAGTCAGAGGGAGCCAAATCTGGTGAATACGCTGGATGTTCAAACAATTCGTACTTTAATTCGTTGAATTTTGTCATTGTCAAAACACTTGTGTGAACACGTGCATTGTCTTGATGGAAAACGATTCTTTTTTTCTTTAAAGCAGGTCTTTTCTCACGAATTTTTGCATTCAATAGATCCAAAAGGTTATAATAATATTCAGAGTTAATCGTTTTATCTTTCTGAAGATAATCAATCAACAAAATACCTTTGTAATCCGAAAAAACTGTTGCCATAACCTTTCCTACTGATGGAACCGTCTTTGCCTTCTCTGGTGCACGTCCACCGGCTTCAATCCATTGTTTCGACTGTTCTTTTTGCTCTGGTGTATAGTGGTGGATCCAAGTTTCATCAACAGTTATGAAACGACGCTTGAAATCCATTTTATTTTGCTTAAAACAATCCAAACACGCTTGAGAAATACGCATTCGAATGCGTTTTTGGTGAATTGTTAGCAAATGCGGCACCCATCTTGCACAAAGCTTTTTCATATGTAATTCTTCATGCAAAATATTTCCAATTCGTTCTTTTGAGACGCCTATGGCCTCAGCTATTTCACAAATTTTCACTCGCCGATCATCTAACACCATATCATGGACTTGTTGAATGTTTTGTGGTGTTGTAGCAGTTTTGGGACAACCTTCGTGTGGATCATCTTCGAGGCTCGACCAGATTTAAAAAGAGCAGCCCATTTTTTCACAGTAGAAAGTGAAGGTGATGCATTCTTATACACTTTTAACAATTTCGGATGAATTTCTGTTGGTGTTAAACTATCCAAAACAAAGAATTTAATTACTGCACAATATTCAATTTTTTCCATTTTAAAAAAGACAATGACACGTCAATATTAAACTGGTGCTACTACTCGAATGACTTGACAGATCGAAATAAAATTTTACATGAGTTTATATCAGGGATGCCACTTTCCAATACAATTACAGTTTGACAGTTTCTAATGCCATCTATGTGTCAGGCCGAGAACTTTTCAGACTGCCCTCGTAATATTGTATATAATAATGTGGTTGTGTGTTATAGATTTATTGTTTTAACGTTTTAGCATCCCTTGATTCATTATGTATATAACTAGAGTATCGTGCGTCAAATAAACAGTAAAATCATTTTATTATTATAATCTCGTCTGTATATGCGCGTATTATTCTTCCTTTAGCTCTACAACTCTTCGTGGGTTTTGGCGACGCGCATATTATATATTTTTCTCGATATATCTCCGACCTCAATTGTTATTAATACTATGTCGTCCGATGACACCACGTTGGTGTAATGTGAAAATTTTCGGACAAATATCAATGACACCACGTTGGTGTTGTGTGCAAAGCTATCGAACAAAAGCCGAAATGTTGAAATATTGATATTACATATTGATGTTGAGATTAGTAAAACAAGACGTTTTACAATCTTTCAAAAAACGCTGGCGATAGGCGGTGGGATTTACACAAGACCTACCGCCAGACAAAAGAATCTTGGTCACACATGCGGACGTGTTAAGTTTTTTATATATTTCTAGGTTGTTCCGCCTCTACGATTCTCAACTATGCTTTATCGTGTACTCAATCAATCCCGACTGTATAAAAGTTTTTTATAAAATCGATTTATAAGATCGACTTGTAAAAATTTAGATGTCGAATTACATTATAATCTTTACAATTATTGCTGAGGTATATAATATGAATACAAACATAAGGAGGAAACTTTGGTATTTGGTATACCCTCAAAATGAGCTCCTTAAAATATTTTATAGACAATAGTTGTTAATATACATACATTGCATACATATATAGCGGACATTTTGGATGTTAGTAATAATATAAAGTTTATAATAATATAAATTATATTGTATGCTCACGTGTACTGTTATTGATAAGCGATCAAAATGGAATTATTATACAAAATATGAAGAAGACTATATGTGAATATAAGAAATAATTATTTACAATGTGCACACACACAAATATACAGTGTCCTATTTTAATGTCCCACCCCAAATCACTCTTCAGTATTGAAGTTTCAAGGAAAATGATCTGAACAAAAGTTGTAGGGATTTAAGTGAGCTACCTTATGATGACCTTGACTTTGATCTTGACTTCTATTTCCAAAGTTATTTGAAAGTCAACTTGCGTTTTTTAAATTGGAAGCCTTATTTTTTATTATACCGCTTTTTGACTAGTTGATTTGAACAACTTTTGTCTAAAACATTCTTTATTTGTCCAACAGTTTTTGAGATATTTGAGGAAATTTTGACAACTTTTTCAATATTTAACTTACGATATCTCGCTAATTATTTGTCGGAAGAAAAAGTGATACTAGACTTTCTTGCTTTATTTAATTTCAAGAATATATTGTTACAATAGCGCCTTGACTTTTGTTAACTTACTGACTTTTGGAAATTTTAAAATCATCGAATTAGCAAAAATCAGGGCGCTATTGTAACAATATATTTTTGAGACTAAATAAAGCAAGAAAGTCTAGTACCACTTTTTCTTCCGACAAATAGTTAGCGAAATATCGTAAGTTAAATATTGGAAAAGTTTTCAAGTTATCAAGTTTTCCTCAAATATCTAAAAAAATATTAGACAAATAAAAAATGTTTTAGACAAAAGTTGTTCAAATTAAATAGTAGAAAAAAACAGTGTAATAAAAAATAAGGATTCCTATTTAGAAAATGCAAGTTGACCTTCAAATGACCTTGAAAATAGAGGTCAAGGTCAAAGTCAAGGTCATCATGAGGTAGCTCACTTAAATCTCTACAACTTTTATTCAGATCATTTTCCTTGAAACTTCAATACTGAAGAGTTATTTGAGGTGGGACATTAAAATGGGACATCCTGTATATATTGTATAAATATATACACACATACATACACAGAGTATCTATAAAGTCCGACCTCACTCTTGGATCTCGGGAACGGCTTCAAATATGGAAAAATGTGTAAAAAAAAAGTTACAGAACATTAAGGAGGACAGATGATGAAAGTAGAGATTTGACCTAGAGTGACTTCATTAAGGCCAAGTCAATGTGATCGATGTTTTCTTAAACAAAACCCGCCATTTTTTATTACACCTCCTTGTAGCCCTCGTCGAGACGTTTTCAAATACTATCTACTTGTACCTTTTGCGCCAGCCCTTCCCAAAATATGAAGCTTCAATACTTAACGTACCACCGGTATTTACATTATCCGATGTATATATTCCTAGTCACAAAATCTAATTCCGCGATGAATCCAGGTTTCCATCATAAAAACCTGGCTTGGCCCTTATTGGGCCCAACCGGACCCTAGTTAGACTTTATAGCCACGATTGGACCAGACTATCAGATAGTCCTCTCCAAATTCAAGCAGTTTTGTTCCATTAGTTATCATAATAGATCCCCTCGAATTCGAGACATTTCAAGGGTAAAACGTGTATACTCGACTACTTACGAGGATTGCCTTTTATTTCGGGAATAGAGAACAAAAAAAGGAAATTAATCATCGTACATGGGTTTATTGTTTTTCAAAATATTTTCCATGAAGATCAATACACTTTTGCATGCGCTTGAACCAATTTTCGAAGCACTTTTTCCACTCCGATTGAGGTACCTCCAAAACATGCATTTTGAACGCATCAACTGCTTCTTCAGGCGTCGTAAAACGTTGACCTCGTAATTTATTTTTGATTTGCGGGAATAAAAAGAAGTCATTGGGTGCCAAATCAGGGCTGTACGGCGGATGACCCATCAATTCGACTTTTTCAGTTCTCAAAAAGTCTCTTGTTTGAGCCGATGTGTGAGAGCTCGCATTGTCCTGGTGGAGAATGGTGCGTCTTCGGCGGTTGGTTTCCCTTATTTTTCCGAAGACTTCTAACAAACAAATGGTTGTGTACCATTCAGAATTGACCGTCCGATATTGCACTAATGGTACAGTTGCCACATGTCCGGTTTTTCCGAAAAAACAGGCAACCATTTGCTTCGAAGTGCTTCGTGCGCGAACAACTTTTGTTGAATTTGGCTCATCTTGAAAGACCCATACAGTCGACTGCTGTTTACTTTCGAGCTCATACGCATAGATCCATAATTCGTCACCTGTTACGATATTATAGACGTGTTTTGAAGCACCGCAATCGTATTTCTTGAGCATTTATTTCGACCAATCGACACGAGCCTTTTTTTGAGTGATTGTTAAATTATGTAGGATCCAACGCGAACAAATTTTTTGACAGTCAAATGTTCATGCAATATTGAATGTATGCTTGTCTCACTAATGCCCAAGGATGCCTCAATCTCACGATAAGTCACATGACGATCTTGCAATATCAGTTCACGCACAGCATCAATGTTTTCTGGAACAACAACCGATTTTGGACGACCTTCACGAAATTCATCACTAAGCGAACTACGGCCACGACTGAATTCCGTATACCATCGATATATAGTGGTTTTTGATGGTGCTTCATCGCCAAAAGTCGAATTAAGTTCATCGATGCACTGTTGTTGAGATAATCCACGTCAAAAGTTGTAAAAAATAATCGCACAGAAATGTTCACGACTTAATTCAATTTCTTGGCCGACATCAATTTTTCATGTCACTGTAAACAACACAAATGGCGCATGGACATCAAAACGTTCTGAGTAAGTATACTGACAAAAAATCGAACTTTACGTTAGGGACGTCGGTTGTCAGATGGCAGCACCTGGATCGTCCATTCCCGAAATATAAAAGGCAATCCTCGTATATTCTGTCGACTTCCATACCCCATAACTCTTTTCCATGACTCCCTAGAGGTTCGGACCTATAAGGACTTTTGATCGGGGGGTCATAAGCTAAAAAATCCCAAAGTTTGGAGAAATTCGACCGGTGCTCAGATTTCCAATGTTTGTGTGCGTGATCCTTTTACGTTCAAATTAGAGGCGTGCAATTTGCTGTTTCGCTCCCGTTCGTTCTCGACTGTTACACTAGCGACTCCTGACACTGTCGCTGCCCTACGATGAATGGAGGGGATAGAAGGGACGGGAGCTCATCGGGAGTGAGCTCGATCTATCTCGGTCGAGACTACCGAGTCTCGAGTTCTCGAGATCCGAGTACTCGAGTACTCTCGATTCCCGATCATTCCCGAAACGTAGTTTAGGTATAAAAACCGCGCTTTTGGCCAATTCCTTTCGCAAGGGCCTTATATTAGACGTGATTAGTGATAAGCGATATGTTTGGAATTCGCGAATAACTTCTTAAGTAGCAAGATGACATTTAAAGATGTCATTATGGCGTCATTAAGGCGGGAACCTGGTTTAAGAGGCTAAAAAAAAGATTTTTATGAATTTTTTTTATTGACAATGATGCAGTTGAGGTTCCTAAAACTTTTATAATATTTAACTACCTATTTGAAGATGTAAAAAAAATTTTATATTGTAAAATAATTGCAAAATGGCGCCATGGTGTATCTCTAATCAAAGCGCCTCGCCAACCGAGTTGCCAATCTGCGGGAAAAATGTAGCCTGTAATTTTGATCTGAAACAAAAAACCAAAAAGATTATTAATTTTCATGTATTTTTATTCTATATTAACCAACAACATGGTTCAAAAACCGTAAAATACAAAACTTTTTAGCACTTGAACAAAAAAATGACATTTTTGAGAAAAAATTTCCTCTGTTTTTATGCAATAACAATTATTTAAATTAATGTTTTTACCAATGTTTGAGGTTCACATAGAATGGTTGTTCATTTTCTAGCTAACGCACTTTGAATCAAGTCGATTGATCAATTAGTTTTTTCTCTATTTTTCCCGCAGATTTTAAGAAAGTACGAAAATGATATTTAGAGAAAAACGCGTTTAAAGTTTGTGGTACAAAAAAATATCATTTATTGGAGACTTACCGCAATCTTATGCTAATCAGCTATACCAGGGCCATACTGCAGGCCTTCAGCTTCTTCATAAAACTCGTTTCGTTGCATTTGCTCCAGTCTACGAGCTGTGCGAGCTTCCTTGGTCGTGCTGTTTCGGCGCCGTTCCCCTCTCGTAACTCGCTGCGCATCGTAATTATCAGCGAACATTTTGCATTGCTGGCCGATATTGATTTTTAATAACTGCATTGTTAATAAAATGGCAGTGTAGCCTTCATTAACCCTCCATTGCCCTGGTCTGAGGCAACCGCTCAGTTCATGTTTAATTTCTTTAATTTCATAGATGTGGCATAAAAGTTATGTCTAAAATTTTCTGACTTTTTACGTACAATCTTCTAGATTATATTTATATGGTTGTTTTTTTAAATTTCGTTAGTATAATTTTTATTAATGGACCTTGAAAGTCTTAATGCGCGATACAGCTGAGAACAGTGCTCATAGCGAGGGCAAATATGTACGGTCGACGCGACTGGCACTGTTGCCAAATTTAAGCTTTTAGGTTATCTTTACTGTGGTAGGTCGATAAACCGGTCGATGTCTCATCCTTTTGTTCGTACAAGACTGTGTTCACGCAAAGGTAAATAAATTACCATATCAATTTGATTGTAAAAAATCGTTTAGTATATGAAGTAATATTCCTAGTTCTGTAATGTTTGAGGAGACGATAAAGTCTAACGTAATATAACTTGATATAACCTAATTGTGACATAACCTCCACAACACCCAGTTAACATAGAGCATCAGTTACATTATATTTATGTTAAAATTTTATATTCATTGATGTAAATACAATATAATACATGGTGTTATACTGCATTTACATTGTTGAGTGCGAAATTTAACATAAATGTAATATAACTTAATGCTCTGTGTCGACTGGGGAAGTTTTGAGTACGCTTTGAATAAATATAGCGGTTATAAATAGAAAGAAATTATGTTATTCAAATTTTTAGTACAACAGTATGACAGCAGAAGGAATACATCTAATATGGTATCAAGAAGGAACGTCAGATAATGAGACAGAAAACTTCGGCGAGGATAATGATGACTGTTCTGACATTGAGCCTAAAGTATCCAGAAGATGAATTTACAAGCCACCAGTCTGATTCTGTACCTAATAAAAATTATACAAGAAAAAGTCAGACTTTCGTGGGAAAAGATAAAAACGACAATTTGGACTACTAGTGAAATGAACGTTCAAGAGCGACGTGCATCCAAAAATATTATTACCAATTTGCTGGGTATCGTAGGGCAAGCAAAAAACTGTTCAACACCTCTACAATGTTGGGAAATGTTCTTTACAACGGACATGATTAACATTATTGTAGAATGTACTAATGTACAATTAAGTCATTTCCAAACTAGTTATACAGATTATGAATGTAGAAATACGGCGAATATTGAAAATCCGAGCTCTTTTCCGGAATTTTGTACATAGGCGTATTTTAAACAATGTCATTTAAATGTTAATGATTTTTGGGGCAAAAGATCCTTTAGCGCCTCCGTTTTTTCGTATAGCTATGTCAAAAAAAGATTTCAATTATTAATGAGAGCTTTTAGATTTGACAACCGTTGACAACAGAGTTGAACGAAAAAAACTTCGATAAATTAGCCCCAATACGCGAAATATTTGAACGTTTACTACAGAGTAATGTTTACTTCTACTTTGATAGCTTTCTATAAACCAGACAGCACAGATCTCCCGAAGAGGTCCCAAGGACATCCATAGGATATCGTGTGGTTGTACCGGGATTCAATCAGTATAATTTTTTAAGTTCCTTTACATTTAATTAATCCTTCGTATTTTATTAACATGTTCTTAATACGATTTTTAAGTATTATAATAGCCAAATATACAGGTGCACGATTTATCTGAAGACATTGAAATATCTCGAGAACTATGTATTGGATAAAAAGAAGTGGTTAATGAAAGTTGTTAGTCTCGAAGGGGGACATCCAATGATACCAAACTCGACCTCCCACCCCACCCTCTGGGGGGTGGGGGTCGGGGGGCAACTTTGAAATCTTCAATGGAAACCCCCATTTTTTGTTGCAGATACGGATTCTACGCCACAAAATACGTAAATTTTGTCCGAAACTTTTTTTTGATTCGTGATAGATGGCGCTGTAATCGCAAAAAAATTATATTTTCCGCAATTCTCCAGAAATGATCATTGGATTGAGAAATAAAAAATACCTGTTCAATATTTTTAAAGAACATAATAAAAGAACATAATAATAATAATAATATAATAATAATAATTAATAATAATTTTTAAAGAACATAATAAAAGTGAGCTCCTGACCGCATTGCACTGCCTTTTATAAGAAGCCGTAGTTCGCCATACACCCACAGTAGCGCGTCGAGCAGTTCCCTCTTCGATTCGGGTTCCCATTTGAGATTTGAACGATACCACCCACCCTACCCCGAGAGGATGGGGGGGAATAACTTTTATTATGTTCTTTAACACTAGATTTACGGACCGAGCCAATTTGACTCATTAAAAATTTGATCACTATATATATATAAAACTTTAATATTACTTTTTAAAAACATACGTTGGTTTTTTAGTTAAGTAATGAAATATATGTAAACGTTCATTCCTCTTCCCCGCAGACCCCTTCATTTCGCATTATCGAATGTGGTATACCTATTTTCACGGTTGTGAGCCAATTTGACTCATAGAATGGTTTAACAGTTAATCGCATAACATGAAATTTATTGGTCCTATCAGGCCTGGGGCAACAGTCAAGTCGCACGTGATTTGTTTCTCTTCTCATTTGGCATTCCTCACATACAATATTTGTGTGTATGTGGGAGCCATTGTCACTTGTTTTCGCTATTCCGCTACATTATTACCCACTTCTGTCATCATTTCGATTTATACATCGCGTGTGAGCAGTCAGTGAAGTAATATATAATTTATAATTTTATAAAATTCATTTTTTGCCAGAAAAATTTGATCCACAAAGGTAATTTTGTAATTTATTTGTAAAAGGTATTACAATTGATATTTATTTTATCTGGTTATCTAGGGTTTCTATTATGGGAAAATATCAGAAAAATTGTCTTTTGTTGGAAAAACTAATCAAAATAAAGAAAGACCAATCAGATAATGAATCGGATGCAATTGATATAGACCAATGTTGATAACGAAATTGAATTAGAGGAGGAAGTCAATAAAATTGAATCTTCAAGCAGTGAAGATGAAGATCTTTGTTATATAGCTCCTAACAAAAAAAGAGCCAGGGTTGTTTCTGATTCTGAAACCGAAAGCGAAGATGAAATTTTCGTTACACAGCTCCTAGTAAAAAAAGAGCTAGAGTTATTTCTGATTCTGAAACTGAAAATGATTTAGACGCTATCGATACATCTTCTGATAAAGAAATTTCAGCCGAAAAAGCTGCTGATGGGACTTTATGGGAAAACATTGAACGAAGGCAGAAACGTAGGTAGATCACCGATTTATACCATATTCAAAGACGTTTCTGGTCCAACTGCCTATGCTAAAAGGCATATTATGCTTGGTTCGGCAAGTAGCGCATTCAATTTGATAATTGACGAAGGTATGATGGCGTATATAAAATCATGTACCGAACTCGAAGCTCGTCAAGTTTTGAATAATAAGGAATGGACGGTTACAAAATCACAATTGTGGGCCTTTGTAGCAATTTTATTTGCTAGAGGAGCATATGAGGCAAAAAATTTGAAGTGTTCATATTTGTGGTCTGCGAAGTGGGGTCCGGCTTTTTTCGCCCAGACAATGTCTAGAGATAAATTTATAGACATACTTCGGTTCATACGTTTTGTAAAAAAATGAACGCAGTGAAAGACTGAAGACAGACAAATTTGCCTTGATTTCAAAAATATGGGAAAAATTTATAGAGAATAGTCAGGCTTGTTACAAACCTGACGCAAACATAACGATCGATGAGCAATTATTCCCTACTAAAGCTAGATGCCGATTTACGCAGTACATGCCGAATAAGCCGGATAAATTCGGCATCAAATTTTGGCTGGCATCCGATGTTAGAAGCAAATATCTTGTAAACGGTTTTCCGTACTTGGGCAAGGATGAAACCCGAGGATCAAACATTCCCTTGAGCGAATTTGTAGTAACTAAGCTTGCAGAGCCATATTTAGGCTGTGGACGAAATATTACCACAGATAATTTTTTTTACTAGCATTTCACTTGCAAAAAAAAGTTACTTGCAAAGAAAACTACTTTGGTTGGCACTATACGTGCAAACCGAAAAGAATTACCTAAAATTGCGAAAGCCAAGAAAGATAAAATGACACAGTTTTCTACAAAACTGTATAGATCTGAGAATTGTACCCTGACCATTTATAAAAAGCAAGCCTAATAAAAAGTTTTACTACTAAGTACAAAACATAAAAATATAACAATTGAAAAAAATAAAAAACTTGTTCCAGAAACAGTAACCTATTATAATAGCACCAAGTATGGCGTTGATGTACTTGACCAAATGGCCCGAAAATATAGCGTTAAAGCAAGTTCACGCAGATGGCCTCTACAAGTTTTCTACAACATTTTAGATTTAGCAGCTATCAATGCTTGGATTCTGTATAAAGAGACGACTCAAGTAAATATTTCACGAAAAGATTTATTTTCCAATTGGCTGAAGAGCTAAGAAGTAAATATAGAGAAGAAGTCGAGAACACTTCCATTCCAATGACAGAAATTCATGCTACTGACGCACGGAAGAATTGTCAAGTTCAACAATCATGCAAAAGAAACAGATGTAGAAACCATTGTGCTAAATGTAATAGAAATGTTGCGGAAAATGTGGTTTCAAAAACAGAGTTTATATGTAAAAAATGTTTTCCATGAATTTTTTGATAATAAACATTTCATTTAAATTGATTTGGAACTATTTTCTTTGCAAAAAACTTCAATTTTCTTGTATGAGTCAAATTGGCTCACTTCAGTAAAAATAGGTATATAATCAACATCCGTAAATTAGTGTTAAAAATATTGAACAGGTATTTTTTTATTTCTCAATCCAATGATCATTTCTGGAGAATTGGGAAAATATAATTTTTTGCGATTACAGCGCCATCTATCACGAATCAAAAAAAAGTTTCGG